CACGCACATGCCCTAATTCTACCTAAAGAAGGTCAGTGCCCTCCTATAGTTCACCCTTCTCTGCCTCACTTGATATGGGCAGAAACTCGGGAAGGGAAGGGGAAGCTTGCTGCATTGCCCATGGGCAGATGTTCTGCTTAGGAAGAGGAGGTTGTCGAGAAAGTGCTGTGGATGCTATTCTGTGGTCCCCTGCCCCACAGCTCTAAAACAGACTTAGGTCCCAGCCTAGAAGATGAGCTATAATATTTTGCTCTACAGCTAAGGTGCGATTCACTCCCTTTGTACGAATCCTGGGTGATGGAACGTGTGCACAAGATCCATCATGCACTTGCTGGGGTATAGGATGCACCCAGCATATAACATCTGGGCCCTGAATAAACTGTCCAATTTTCAGTCCCTATTGTGGGATATAAGCTCAATGGAGTCACGGATTGTGAACCCCATAAACACTCTCGCCACTTTTCTCTACCTTGCCCCCAAACCTCTCCACTATGGATCCTGTGTCATTTGTACCTTGCATGGTGGACACAGGGGCCCCGGATGCCTAGTCCTCCATGCCCACTACTGTGGTCACCTTCCCACAGCCCTCAGTGCAATGGATGGCATTCACCCTGAGCAAACAGGTGTATCATTACTGCAGCCAGGCTCCTGGACATGCCTGCTGAAATCTGCCCTGCTCTATTTATTTAACAAAGTACTTCCAAGGCACGAAGGACGAGAGAGAGTCCCTGCACTGTGGGACTGTCATCAGAGCCTCAAGTGCCATGCATCCATATGTAAAGCATTGCAGAGTGTAACTGAGGATGTACAGCAGCCTTTAATGTGCATCCTTCAACCCCGACAGTGCCAATTCCAGAGAGCAGCTCTCAGGAAAGGGGGTGGGGGAAAGTCTCGTGCTCCAGAAATGTCAGGCTCTCTCATCGAGTTGGAGATGGTTAATGGCTTTTCTTTGGTCATTACAGGGAGACCGAGGAGTAAGAGGGCCTCAAGGATTTCGCGGGCCTAAAGGGGATACCGTAAGTGCAATAAAACACTCCTTTTACTAAAAACACTGACTGGCCGTCGGAAGGGTTTGTTAATAGTGTAGTGGGAGCTCAGCTGGTTTGTCTTAGTGGCTTGTCTGGTGCAAGGAAGACTTCTCCAGGTGGAGAGTCTTTGTGTCTCTGGAGAAGAGGCAGTAAGTGCCTATTAGCCTGTCCTCATGCCACGTCACCCAGACAGCCCTGGTGCCATGTGGACACAATCATGCACCAGCTAGTTAAGGAAGCAACCTGCCAGAAGCAGTGCAGGGTACTAGAGGATGCTGCTGCAGAGCACAATATATCTATCGTAGACATGCGTGGCTTTTGTGTCCTTTGGCAAATTATCGAACGTGTCTGTATTTCAGTTTCCCCCTTAGTGAAATGGGAGAATGATCCCTATTGGGGATCAATGAATGGAAACCATTGGAGATGTGCAAAGTAGTGGTAGCCTTATAAAGCAATCACAGTATTTAAGATAAGCAAGAAGAGAGGCCTCAGGAAGGGCACTGTGATACCCAATAGCTTGTCCATGTCTGTGCCAACCATACAGGTAGTCCCATAAAAGATATCACCCACAAGTATTCTTGCCTCTTGCCATACCTCCTGGACTACCACAGCAGTTGGGGGCAAACTGCCCTGGATTAGCTTTCACTTGCCATAGGATAGGAGTGGACACATGAAGCAGTTACTGCGGAGTGGCAGATATCTGAATAGTCCCACCTGACCCCAACTTTTAACTCAGTATAATTTGTTCATCTCTCCGCACCTAGAATCCTTAAAAGCAATGACAGGACTAAATTTAGAGGATGCATTTGAAAATATAATTCTTGTTAAGTAATTTAAGCTAAAGTGTCGGCCTTCCTTTGGAAAAGGGGATGTGCCCACTTATAGGCATTGGATGACTGAACAAGCAGTGCTTAAATGCTTCTACAAAAGCCTCCATCCTTGCAGCTTAATTCAACATGTATCAAAATCACTGGGAATATATATACCCAGTGACTTCTTTCTGTGCTGGGTCAAGCTGCTAGTGCTGAGTAATGATGAGCATGCTACAGCTTTTGTAGATCTGATGCTCCGGGGGAGCTAGTCATGCATCTCTAGACAGGTTAAGGTCAAACACATCCTGAGTCAAACCAGCCTCTGGGGTTTGCACATCACTGTAGTTTACTGCTCTGCTCTGGGGCTGTTCCTCCTGATACCTTCAGTACTGGGTCATATGTTACTTGTTTGTTTCCAGGGTAGACCTGGACCAAAGGGAACGTCAGGAACCCAGGGACCCATAGGAGAACCTGTAAGTCAACCTTGAACAGTACAAGTCTCTCAGTTACCTTCTTCATGCCATGACTGTACAGGTAATGATAGGAGAGATGCCCTCCATTCCTGTTTTGACATGGTTTCTGCACCAAGATAGATATTTTCAAGGTAACCTGCACCTGAGCCCATTGCTGCAACCCTTCTAGGCCATATCCTGGTTCTGCTGCAAGCAATGGCAGATCTCTGCCCAGCTTCAGTGAGACTGAAATTTGGCCTCTTATAGCTGCAGGAGTGGGGGGTGGGGAATACTTGTCTGCCAACTCCCTGAAAGTGTTGAAGGCAGCCTAGTCTGACCATCCACTTACACCTATGCTTTCAAGTAAAAAAAGCAGGTATAGGGTCAGCTACAGCAGAGGTTTATGCCTTCATTAAGGGCTATGCAATTTAAACTGTCATTCTTAAAGCATTTTAATAAAATAGCTTTTTTATTGCTTCCTTTATAAAATTTGAAATGTTACCATCAGTTATCTGAAATTCAGTTTTAACTGAAGAATTTGTAAGATTTTTTTTTCCCTCAAGTAAGATCTGGATTGAACTTTTATGGTCTAGAACTTATATTTTCGTTACGAGTACGTGGTGCAGACTAGTCTATGGAAAATTGAAGGAACCTTAAACCAGCATTGGGTTCAGAGGAACCAGTAAAAGAGATTTCATAATTCATTCCTGAAATATTGATTGACCCTTACATGTTTTGGGACCTTTGTGCTGTGCTTTGTCATATGCTTATTCTGCATTGCATGTGTTTTCAGGGTATACCTGGGAAAGATGGTCGAGATGGAAGTCTCGGACTCGATGGTGAGAAGGTTTGTAAAATCCTACTTAAACACCATGCACAGAAAAATTTTGGTTGCTTTCATAAGCTTGTTGCTCTGCTCAAAGAAGAGCAAATCTTGCAAGGTTTTGGTTCAAGAGTGAGCTTTTTCTGTGATGTTACTAAGTATAGTATAGAATAAAGTTATTCAGAAGGATCGTTCCTTATCCCCATGATATAAAATAAATAGGCCAATAGAAATCCTTTCACTCTAACCACTTTTGGGGAAAGTACTATTAAGTGTTATGGTGCCAATTTAGGATTCAGATTTTTAAAGGAGGGCATGACATGACCGAGGATCCAGAGAAAAGTGGACATCTTGACTTGGGGGAAATAAAGTGAGATCCTTCAAAGTAGAAAGCTGTGAATGGGAATTTGAAGCTCCTAAATGAGTTGGACACCCATTGATGGTCAAGGTGAGTTGGGTACCTAGCCAGCTGCTTTTGAAGTCTGAGGCTTTGTGTGCAAACAGGCACTGTCTTGCACAATCACCCTTTTTGCATCTTTAATTGCCCACTCATTTGCACCCACATTTTATGCAGACACGATAAATGCATGTGTTTTTGCAGGCATGCTCCTGTTGACATTAGTCCTGGGATGTATGAGAAGTGCCTGTCTGATCATTTAATACTCCTTTGATACCAGTGTAACGGCATTGATTTCAGCTGAGTGGGGGATTTTTTTCCCCATTGATTGGTACTCAGGTGTCTCACTCTAAAATTAGGCCCTAAATCAAAAGCTTCAGTGAGTAATTTTAGACCTGAATCTGATCTCACAAATAGTCATACAAATCTGAAACAACTGAGTGAAGCTGAACTAAAGTGAAACTGGAGAATCCAGTCCAAAGTGTCCAACCTTACAGACTGACCTCAAATTTCTGAAGGTTTGGGGTGACTTTCAGTATAGTGATAGAATAAAAGAAGACGGGGGGCGTTTTTTCCCCAGCAGGAGCTACTGCAGCCCTGAGCGGATTCAAAATCAGAATGATACATGTTCCCCTTGAATCTATAAATCATGAGGAAGGACAAACCCTGCTCCAAAAACACCTGTTTGCTAATAGTATCAACTTACTTCCTACAGTAGACTGTCCCTCTTGACCTGTTGATCTCCACAGGGTGATACTGCCCGCATGGGAGTGCCTGGAGAGAAGGGGCCAAATGGACTTCCCGTGAGTATTGCAGTGTTGCTGCCATAAAGGAGGTGACTGAGCTGGGGGACAGGACATCTGGTGTTTGCCACCTGGTCTCTGAAGGCATTGCAAAGGTTTAAGGCACTGGGTAATATTATTTTCCCATAACACCAAGGGAGAACAGTAACAGTGTGTCTAGACACAGTTCATCATACAGACTGGAAACACATTTGGGATGTGTTAGCTGGGGAGAGGCAGATATCCTGGAAAGGAGTCAGGTCCAAAAGCTTTAGCCTGCATGCATAAAACAAAACCTAAAATAAAGAGGAAAATGTTAGGAGTATCATTAGGTACTTATCTGTGGACTGGGATTAGTTCTTGGGATGACGAACGAAACAGTAATTTTCCCTATCATTTGCACACTGGAAAGTGTCTCTAATAGAAATGCCTTTATGTCTGCCACAGCTTTATGCAAATTTGGCCCCCTCCTATGTTGAATCAGACAGGAAGCAGTGAATGTTATTCTGTGCCAGATCTAGGTATTCTGACTTCAAATTTGTTTTGTTTTTTTTATTCCAGGGATTACCTGGAAAAGCAGGTATCAAAGGCGCAAAGGGTGAGCCAGTAAGTGAATGTTATTCGTGATTAGTTTTGTCTGGGAAAATGCTAACTGGGTCACCCTAGTGCACTGCAACTTTAGGCTCCCATCCTGCAACACCAACAGTGCCAGAGTGGTCTCCTTGAAATCTGTGCACTTGCATGAGTGCTTGCAAGAGTCAGGGCTTGCATGTCTTCTTGCACCTGATGTGTCTGGATCACCTCTTGAGCGATCACCCAAATGCAGCGGGCATCCTCCTGGCTTGACTTGAGCTGCAGTTTCAGCTATTCCTCAAAAGACATTTTAAAGATCTTTGAGGAAATGCAAAAGTAGGTGAATCTCCAGGGATTTAACCAGAGAATAAATACCAGAGAAAGGGAGCATGGGCAGGTTTAGCTGTGTGCAGATGCCACAAGACAGGTGGTCCCTTAGATTGAATTCAAAGGACCCCAAAAGAGCCTCTGAGAACTCTGCCAGCGGCAGGATTTTGACCCTAATGGTGACTTCTCTGCTGCCAAAGTCCCCTGCTAAGGCAGATCCCCCCTCAGTGTGTATAACATGATGCTCCAAGGGAATCTATACTGAGAATCCCTTCAAGATAAACTACTGCACAGCTTTATGCAGCGCGCGTCGTCCCTGCCCCTGGAGTCACCAGGCTGGCCCTCAGCAATGTTAGATGAAGGAGGGTTTCAAACAGCCTATTAAAAGGTGCTCGTCTTGTCTGTTCCTTCCTTTCAATCTTCTATCTCAGCATTTGCCTCTTCATAATTTCATGGATACCAGGGTTACTAGTCCTCATGCTTCAGGGTACCTGCTGATCACTGGCTAGGCCAGGAGGAAATTTCTTTAGCCAACATGTGGTTTGATATAACGTATTGCAGGTCCCAGCATGTGGGCTAAAGCATGACTCTTCTGCAGAGGTCTACGTTATCTGGAGTCTTCTCTTTATAGTTTTCAAATGTGCTTTGTTATCCCCCCCAGCAAGACTTTAATTTCATCCTCTCTTTCCATCTGCTTCCTTGAGAAATGACAGAAATGACTGTGGAGTTGTGTCCTCACTGAGTGTTTGTGTCCCCTCCTACAGGGTAGCCCTGGAGAAATGGGAGAGGCGGGTCCGTCTGGCGAGCCAGGTATCCCTGTATGTATCTCATCAATTTTTTTGGATATCACAACCTCTGTGAATGCTTTTTAAATGACCGCACTGAGCTTCAGCTCACATGCTGCTTCTCTGGAACAGCAGAGCTTGGAGTATCTGTAATAAGCACTTGTGTCTGTGGAAATCTTTGCTGTGATGTGACTTTTCTCTGGGCAGTGTGATGTGGGTCGCAGGTCTATAGCAATGACCATGTACAAATACCACCTGTCGTACTGCAATGGGAAGAAGCAGGCCACACTAGGGCAGCTGCGTGGCTTAGTGAACAGCACATGGGATTGGGGCTCAGGAGACCTGCTGGGGGCTTTTAGGCATGGCATTCACCTGTCTGTGCCTCAGTTTTCCTAGCTGTACACAGCAGTGGGCTCCTTAGTAAAGGGTTTTGAGATCTGCTTCCCAGTCAACAGCTAAGTCTTGCTGTTGTTTAAAGGTCAATGAACATGAAAGGTAAACCATGTGCGATATGAGTGCGGCCTCTGTGCAATGGGGCACGTCTACACAAGACACTAAATGCGCAGTAGACAAATTCTACTCTGCATTAGCACGGCCCGGCAAACGCCACGCTAACATGCTAATGCACAGTTGAATTAGTTTACTGCACATTAGCATCACAAAAAAACGTGTGCACCGGTGCTACTGAACAGTAGCACCAGCTACTGTGCATTCAGTTAGTCCCTGTTATTACAGATACTAAACTTAAGGCGCTGTAACCACAGTGCATTAATGAACATGTAGATGCATCCATGGTGTTGCGGTGGGGTTGGGAAGGCTGGAGTTGATGCCGAAGAACAGCACAATGACTTTCTGGTGGTGTTGACAGGGTGATCCCGGCATCCCTGGAGAGAGAGGCGAGTCTGGACCGCGAGGATCATCTGTAAGTAGGACGCTACTGCTTGAAAGTATTGTGTGGCCTGAAAACCCAGCCCTGTGACCAGAGGTGACATCCAGCTAAGCCAAAAAGCAGTGTGCCCTACTGCTGTAGCATGGATGGCAGAGAATTTAATCTACAGGAGGTGGGCCGGATTCTGCCGTCTCCATTGCCTTCCACTACATGGAAGCAGCTTGAACCATCAGCACTTTCTAGATAACAAGTGACATTTCCCCCACTCCTTTCCTTAATACGACTGACCCTTAAGCCACTCCTGGCATGCTAAGCAGGAAACCTTTCCTTTCACTTGCGGTTCTCCCCGTCCTTGTAGAAAATACTGAGAGCAAACCCTGGAACTGTACAGATCCCTTCGTGTAGTGACAGGCTTGATATTGTGAACCCATGTGTCAAAAGATTTGCAAATATGCTCCTTGCCCTCACTGTTATACCCATTTGGCCACACTGTGATGCAGAGCCAGGTTGGGCTGGTTGTTTCGGAGCAAGCTGCATTTAGGGTATTTGTTTGCATCATAACATTTGCCAAAGAAGCAAATGTCAGCGCGAGCCGCCATGAAATGACACTGCAGATGCTTCCACAGCTGTAACCCCTTGGTCACCCCCCTCCATCCCCTGCCAACCATTACCTGATAAACCAAGGAATTGTTGCAGTTTCTGGTTAAAAGCATCTCCAGTCCACAACAGTATTCTTCCTATCCATTCTTATCATTATCTCAGAGAACAGGGAATAAAGAGCCATGTACACAGTGATGCAGGAGGAATCCAAAAGTAATTAAATAGCTGCCCACCAGGTCTGAGCATCATATGGTAAAATAAAGAACAGATTTTGTTCACAATATGAAACCATCCATTTTCCTGGTGTACCCAACGAGTGCTATGAGGGTTGTGGCTGGACCCATCCTTCCAGGGTTTTTTATCTCATTTTGAAATCGGGAAGCCTACAGTCAGTCTACCATGATTTCGGCAGTGTGCCCCTTGGAAGAATTGAGCAGTCCAATGATATATTGTTCTGAATGACTTTGTTCAGTAGATATCTGCAGAGGAGGAAATAAACCTTAGAAATTAAAAAAAAACAAACAAACCCCAAAAACATTGTTTTAGGTCCTCAGGATTTCATAGTAAAACTGGCGTAAAGAAGACAGTAGGTCAAATCTCATCTCAGGCCTTGTCTCTGCTAGCAAAGTCAAGTGGGTTAATGAGGTGAATCCTTCAATTTACCATGGGATCAGAGCATTCATGGTAATGCCCTGTCCCCTTTTACTGTGTGTCCACATCCTTAAGAGCTGATCAAATTAAACTGCTGCAAATGCTGAAGGTAGGTGTGCCAGTAGTTTAAGCCGCTCTGTTTAATTTGTGTCAGTAAATTCCCAACTGAAATGAAATGGTTTTAAGCAAGGGTCACAGTGGTATAAGTGTGTCAGTAAGAGGGTTTTACCTGCTGTTGTGGTTCGGTGGTAGAAACCTTGCCCGCTATGCGGGCAACCTGGGTTTGATTCCTCGATGTGCGTATAGCTATAGCTAGTCAGGTGCTCGATGTCTGGACCTCATCTGGCCTTTGGATTTCCTCAAACATCTAAAGAGGGGATGACAGATCTGGTCCTGGGAGGGCAGGGTCCATGCTCCTGCCTAAGTGTATGCATCAAAGCTCCTGGTGACCTCTCATGCGTGCGCCATGATCCAGAAGGATTGATGGTTCTCTACAATTGGGGGTTTGTGCTGACGACCATGATCCTGAGTAACTCCATTGGCTTTAGTGACATTATTCCAGATACTTAATAGCCATCAGAATTAAAGGCACTAGCAGGAAATAATTTCCAGCTCAACACTTTATTTAGTAAAGCATCTTTCACAAAACAGTTGGGAGGGCAAGTAACAGAGTTACATGGAAAAGCCAGAAAATGAAAATGGAGAGAAAACATCTCATGGAGGTAGTTGGGTGGCTGAGTGACCCTGGCACTGGTTTGCTTAACTAGGTGTTATTCCAGTTCATATCTGCTTCTTATTCTGGTTTATATCTGCTCCCTTTAAAAAATGAAGTATTAATTGAACTTGGGAGCCCTGCGGAGCTGACTCGGGCAAGGGAGATGGCACTGGATTCCAGTGTAACTCTCGTATCTGCACCAGACTCTTTCTTGTTGTTGCTGCTCCATGAATCAGTAAAATGCAACCCGGTATTCAGATGCCAAAGTGAGGATGCAAGCCTGACAGGTAGAAACATGGATTGTTTTTATTTTATTTTATTTTATTTTTTTGTGAAGTGAGTTAACATGACATGAAATCACTGAGTAACTGCAGACACAGCTGCCCTGCAGTCCCAACAGCTGCCGCTCATGGCAGCACATCACCCAAGACACGGCCTTCACTCTCTCTGCCTCCGTTGTGCAATGGAAGAGATGTGTTATTGTCGGACGGCTGCTTTATCCTCCCGTTCATTTTATCTTGAGAAATACAGACTGAATCGCCACGTCCCTGAATTGGGAAAGCCGTTATTCAGGAAGTGATGCTAGACTACTGAAATGAAAAACAATTAGCAGCCAACGTGAACATTATGTTCTCCGGGGCTGTAGTGAAGAAGAAGACTTACCCAAATTTAAGCACGTGAATATTTCTACTGACTACAACCCGGGTGCCTGTTGGGTAAAACAGGCCCGTGTTCACACAACCCCTTGTGTAGGGGTTGTGTGAACCCCTACACAATAATACAGTAGGATTATTCATGTGCTTAAAGTCTGGCTTGCACCCATGCTTTTGCCAGTCTGGGACTAAGACTAGTTCTCCACCCCACCAGCATAGCTCTCATTTAAATGCAGTTGCTGCTTATTTAATGTTAGTGTGCAACTATGACTTGTACACTATGTGCTCAAGGTGGGGAAAAAAATCATTGCTTGACCTCTAGTACATGTAACCATGGGCTGGGTTGTTTTAAGGGTGTCTTGCTATCTAAGCAAACGGCAATATTTGGACAAGCACATGGTGCACAGGTTGAGCTAGGGCAGTGGTTTTCAACCTGTGGTCCATGGGCCCCTGGGGGTCCACAGATTGTCTAAGGGGTCCACAAAAGGTGACAGCGATCAATCAAAGGTGTGCGAATACCCACACTGACCACTCAAAGGGATCCGCACCTCCATTCAAAATTTTTAGGGGTCTGCAAATGAAACAAGCTTGAAAATCACTGAGCCTAGGGGCTTTCAGAAATTTGAGTTCAGTGGCTTGTGGGTCTGAGTCTCCCTTTCTAAAGGGACTTCTCAACAGTCGGGATGTCTCAGGCTGCACAGCCAGGAGCTTTTGGGAGCCCTGTGCAAAGCTTTGGTTTCAGGGCCCTACTGCGATGTTGCCCTGCTAGCCTGTAACCCCGTGGCAGGGCCCCGAAGTGCCCGAGTTACTTTGAACATGGGACTTAGGCTCCTCAGTCACTTCAGGGCTTTTGAAGCGTTGCCTAAGGTTTAGGTGTGTGGCTTTTCCTCAGGGGACTATATCAGAGGCTCTTGAAAGGAAATGATCATTTTCTACCAGTCTTGTTAAAACACTGGGAGCGAACAGGAAACGGTTGCAGGTGCCGATTGTGCCATTTGCATGTACGTTGTGGCAGGGGGTGCAATGGCCAGGCTGTCATGTGCACACGCACCCCCCGTGACATCTGCCTGCAAGCATTTTACAGGGCTGGCTGGACTCCACGGACCTCCTCCTACCTGCCTTTCAGCGGGGCTGCACAAGTCCCCCAGCCCCTTTCTTTGAAAGCTGGCAGTGGGTTTTCAAAACTCCAGGCCGCACAGCCTGTTTCTATAACTGCCAGTTTTCTGCCTAACTTCATCTGACAACTCAGAGTTGAAAAACAGTTCAGTGACTCAATTAACTTCCTTCCCCTGCATACAATTATGCCCACGTGATGAAGTTGTTTTGGAGTTCAAAGCAACTCCATCTACTGTTTCTTCTCCCTGAAACCCCTCCTTCCCAGCTAGAACAGGGCAGGGACAGCAACGGCCTTCAGCTGCAAAAGAGGGAAGTGGGCTGGGAATTGAGAGTGTTGCAAAAGCATTTATCTTTGGCATTCAATTTTTCCCCTGACTTTGAATGATCTCTCGAACAGCGACTGCCAGAGAATAAAAATAACAACTGTTGAAACGCATATTTTTAAGATCTGATCCACTACACTTAAGCAATTCAGAAATCTCCATGGGAGATGCATTCATCCCAAAAGCACCATTTAGGTGGTTGTGAGTGGTGGGAACCCACCTCGTTTCAGTGGGTTTAATCGCATGCTTAAATGCCTTGTTGAACTGGAGTCTGAGCCGACCGCGTTGAGGATGAATGGCAGGGCTGTGTTGGATGAGACCGGTGATGACAAGGGTGTATGCGGAAAGCATCCATAGCACTTACCTCATACTTATCCCTAGGCATGGCCACTAGTCTCTTGCATTATTAATGAGCCTAAGCATTAAATACAACAGAAATAATCGTTGTCATTCCGGGTGACAACAGGAAGATCAATTAAGCAGTGCCATAACAGCTGTTCAGCCTCCAGGCTGTTGGGAAGCCGGCTCTGGAGTATGGGTTTTGCAGGCTTCCTCCTCATTAGAACAAAACCAATTTAACTGTATTCATGACTTCATTGGGCTTCAACGATCTTTCTTAACGATTTGTATTCTTCTCTTTTGCAGGGAGCACTTGGCCTTCAAGGCCCAATGGGAGCCCCAGGTATCAGAGGCTTTCAGGTCAGTCAACTAGCAATTAAGGTAGTTTAATACACATCCCGTTAACAATAGGCTGGTGTTTTCCCTGCAAGCCTCTGGGAAGGATAATTGGGGGGTAGTGACAAATTAGGACATGAATAGATTTCATTTAATCAGGATCCAGTTGCACCTTCAGTAATACGAGACAATAGCAAAAGAACAAGAGCAGCTAATAAGCCTATTGTGTCGCCTGTAGCAAATGAAGCCACATTCATAGACATTAGGGCTAGAAGGGACCTCGGAAGATCATCATCTAACAAATAAAGAGGGAAGCTGCCTGACTACAGCTCATCCTTTACCTGAACAGTCCCAGCCCCACTGTCTTAAGTGTCCTTTCCCCTTTGTGACCCTGGGACCTTTTTTTACCCCTAAGGAAGTAGGATGCAAGCACTGCCCAAAACTTCACTCAGACTGGGGACACAGTCCAAACTTGGCCTGGCATCACTATGTCCTCCAGGGGCATGATGAGGTGTGCAACCTAGGCTGGAAGTCACCGTCGTACTGGCAAAGTGCCTGGGCTGAAATCAGCTTCTCTGGCAAAAGCCCCGTGTTGCTGGATTGAAGTTTGGTTGCTTCCTGAAGCCCAGGTTTGGGGTCCATTGCTTCCAACAACATGGCTTTGTCTAGTCTGGATAAGCAACATCTGGTAATGAATGGGCTGAGGACCTCCGCGATGCTTCCTGCAGGAGGTAGGGCCGTAGAGACAGTGCAGGGCAAGCAAGAATAATAAGCAGCTGGAAGAAGATGAGGTGTGCTGGGATCGGGGGCAGAGAGCAGGCTGATAGCTGTGCTTGGAAGAAGGGAGAAGAAAAAAGAGACTCAGCATTCGCAACTCTGCTCAGTAAAATGAACCAGGGCCATTAAAAGCTGCACGGGCTCTTGTGACTGTAAGATGTCTGCCTTTTTTGTTCCCTCCAGGGACCCAAAGGTGCCAGTGGGGAACCCGGACTTCCTGGCCCGACTGGGATCCGTGGCGAGTCTGGTGAGAGGGTAAGGAAAGAAATCTCCCAAGGGGCCGTGTATGTGCTGGGTTTGCATCCCAGCTCGTGCCTTTGGGTGCGTCAAACCAAAGCCTGGATCCGGATCCTGGAATCTGTGACTTGTCTGAGCAAGGTTGGAGGAGCTCTGTTGAATGTCGTATCATACAAAATGTAGACAAATGAAAACTAAGGAGTGCAGGAGGTGCCAGACAAACCCCTGCCCCATCGCTGCAGAGGAGCAGGGGCAAGAATCGGTTCTTACGGCTGTTGCTGCGGGCGTTGAGGTCAGTTGTTGGACGGCTCTGCTCCAGGCCCAGCACTGAATGGACATAGATCGAAAAGGCAAGGCTTGTCCCAAGCAGTTTCTCATCTGTATGTACGAGGTGGATACAGACAGGCTGGGGGCAGTTATGCATAGCATATACCTGATTCACCAAGCCATAAAGTCATCCCCATCCCAAGGCACTGCCCCTGTTACTCCCCCCTTTACCTTTTCACTGGTCTTCCACAACCTTAGAAATCCATAGTTGCTTTCCCAAGGATGAGAGAACAAGGGACTTTCCTATTTGGCAAGTATTCTCCACTCTGGGTGCTGTGCCGGTCCTTACGGGGATGCTCGGGGTCTGTCGGCAGCATGCCCCTGCCTCTGCTGAGGTTAACGCAGAGATGTATACATTTTCCCTGCACTGCAAACGGTGCAGTAAACCCCTCTGGCTGCACAGCAGGATTTCACCTTTTGGGGGTGTGGAGCCACTGCCCTTATACTGGACAACAAGAGCACAGCGATGCCGTCAGTGCAGCAGACGCACCAGCTCATGTGCTTTGGCTGGCAGACAGTGGAGCACGAGCAGCTGACTTGGCAGGGATGCCAGAAACTCTGAGAGCCTGATTTTCCACCTGACCTCCTGCTTTGCACTTTGCAGCCTCGGTTTTATGCCTATAAGTGATTGTTGCTGCTGCAGCGGGCAATCCCAATCCTTAGAGGCTGAGCTCACCGACCTGCATGGATCCAGGTCATTGGCTTACCTCCATTTTACCCCCTGCAACTGCAGCTCATGGCAAGGAATTGGGGGCTCAGCAACCAGGCCCGAGTACCCCTGGGGTCCCAGGCATTGGGGATTCAGTGTGCTGCTTGGTCCTTTTGCCTGGGCTGCTGCAGGGTTGTTTATTGCCTGGTGTTTTATGCTAAAATGAAGAGTGTTGCAGGGTGGGCAGTGTGTCTAGCACTGGGCTGGGATTGCGAGCCCCTCACCATGAACAGTCCCGCACCAGGGCTGAGCCCTGCCCTGGCAGCACTGCATTGCAGAAAGCCCCTCAGACCGGGCTGCTGGGGAGGGAGGTGCACTCCTCTCTCGTGCCGGTGTCTCAGAGGATTTGTGGTTCAGTGGTTACAGCTTGGCTGGAGATCTTGGCTGGCCTCCATGCTCTAGCACTGACTTCCTGGGGGATCTTGAGCAAATCAGGGTCTCTCTGCCTTAGATTCTGACCCAGAAGATGGGGTAAAAGGACAGAGCCCTACTCGAAGGAGCAATGTCAGGATAAAGACAGGGAAGCTGGCCAAGTGCTCAGATGCTACAAAGCGGGGACCTCGAGCGTAAGGACCCCGGGCATGGCAGCAGTTCTCCGGTCATAGGGAGCCTTCCCATCGAGGCTTCACTTGACTGCAAACCCAAATCACAGTTGTAGGCTTGTGAGAGCTGGCTTCTGCAGGGAGGGTCCCACAAGCCAGGCTCTCGCTGTGTGTGTTTGGTTAACATAAAAAGCCTGACTGAAGGATTTAGAGCAGGAAAAAAAGGGTGGGAAACATGAGCCGGTGAGTGTTTGCACCGCTCCACCCAAGTCCCTAGAAGTCCGGCTCTGGTGAGACTGGAGGGCTCGTTTCAGAGCACTCTCTGGACCGGACCGCAGCCAGGCGGACCGTGGCATTGATAGTCTTCCATGCAGATTTCATTGACATGCAGGATCCCTAGTGTGCAGGAGAGTTGCATTTCGACTGACTCAGTGATTGAGATGTTTGTTTAGGGTTTCTTTTTCCTCCTTTTTGACATTTTTCTCAGTATTTCCCCTCCTTCCCTTTAAAAAATGGAACCTTCCTGGGCTCTGGACGGCCAGAGTTTAAGGAGAAATCCATTTGTTTGATGTCAAGGGCTTTCTTCCCATTTAGAAGAAGCCAGCATTGGCTGTTGAGGGGCTGCAGGAAACAGTGGCTGGGTGTTAAGTCAAGTCTCTGTGTAAACTAGCCTCCTGGGTGTACCAGGGCTTGCACAATGGGCTTCTGTGCACGGCCAGGATGAGCCTTGGGTTAAGTCAGGTTACACAGAGCGCTTCTCAGTTGCAGACACTGTGCGTCTACAAGCTAGCACAGTGACGATATTATAGAGCCAACGTGTACTGCACGGATGCAGACTGATGCCGCAAGGGAAAGGTATGGTCCGAGCGAAGGATGCCCCTTAAAACTAAATCCCCATATCAAGAAGCAAACGGAGAGCAAGGTGCTGTCAAAAAGTGTAGCAAACCCCTCGACTCCTGCTCCCATCAAATGAGGTAGGAGCTGTGTGGATCTACTTGCTTTTCCTTGGATCACCTGAATTTTTTCTCGGGGGCGGGGGGGTCCCAGCCTCCAGGACATCGGGTCAAGACTTAGAAAGATTGTTAGCTACAAAACCTAAGGTTTTAAGACGGGAAAGTCCAGGGGAACTGAGAGCCCTCATCCCACTGTCATTTCTGGGCCAGTCCTAACTGTGTCTTGGAAAATCCCAGCTCTGGTAATAATTTGGCATGTTGTGCTTCGCGCGGCACTGGGTTCAGCCCTCCTAGCTTTGGCCCACATCACCTCTAACCCAGGTACCTACTTGAATTGTGCACCCCTGGTGTAAAAGGTGGCAGCCCAACCCACGCCACATCAAACATCTGTCATATCACGGCCTTATATACACAGCTCTTCTTCCAACATATGGCACACATTAGTCTGTAAATATAAAATCCCCTGGAAAATTGAGTTTTGGGGTACTTATTAAATTTTTCAGAAGTTAGGGGGTACTTGCCAATTAAAAGGTTGAGAAACACTGCACTAGACTGTCCATGCAGCCAGGTATAACCAAATCCCTAATTTGCACATCACCTTGCTGTAGTTCTGGTCATCATTATGGTTTCAGTTATATACTGAATTAACTCTCCGTGTGCACAACTACTATGACTGCCATTAGGAGGGACCGTAGTTTGGGGAGTGGAACATACTGCCCCTCTCTTTGCTGGTGCCTGGGGGTGAAATGAGGAGCCCTAGTCTCTACAGCCTGAATTAAAAAGCCAAACACTGTAGCTGGCAGCTCCAATATCCTGTATTGCAGAAGACAATGTGTATGCAAGCACACTATTGAAAATCTGGCTCGCTGAGTCGTGTCTCCCTGACGGACTCGCACAGACCTCCTGGCTTATAGGATGTATATAGTTATACTGTACCAGTATTTTGGCCAACTGCAACTGGCACATCACTTTTGACTGACCCAAGGTGTTGAATGATTTTTTCTGCATGGACACTTATGCCTACCCCTGGGATTTAACAGCCACTGCCTTGCTATTTCACAGGCTTGCAGCTGCATGCCTCCAGAAATGCAAAGTAACATATTAGGAAGTGCATTATTCTTGTGTGGAAAATACAGGAGCTTCAGGGTAGCGTACCATGACCTATACGATGATGCTACAGTTATACCTGGGAGCCACGTGGTGTTTTTCTATTTGCATCGGTTAGGGTGAGTTCACAAAAATATTTACCATAAGAATTTATTTTAGGATCGAATTCCTAATTACAACCCTGAAGGTGCACACGTACTAGTACGATGTCCTCCTTCTACAGCAATGTATCTATGTGATTGATTATTACGAGGTACTTTGAATTTGATAAGAAAACACCTTAATAGAGCCAGGCAAACATGAAAACTGCCAGTGAATATGGAGCTGGTTGCTCTGAGGCTATTCTTGTCACTCCTGCTCCTACTGCCAGGAGTCGTTTTATGATGAACCAAACGTTTCAGAATCCAAATGCATCGGGTCAGTCATTTCTCTTAAGAAGCAGTCCTCAGGGGACAGTCTCCAGAGACTGGGCTATTTCTTATGCCATAAACTGTCGTGGGGCCCTGGGACTATCTGGTCTGAAGGAGCAGACTAGGCCTAAAGGAAGAATCCTGCCTTTGCTACAGCTGCATTTAAAAAGAAGGTTATAAATGCCTGGATTGCTTTCTGCATTTCCAGGCTGTCTGGTCTGGTTTGCAGGGAAAATCATTTTAATAGAAATTTGAGCTTTTAATAATCTGCAGCCCTTTCCTTCAGTGAAACAGCATGCACTGACTCTGTGTCTGCGCTCTTCTCTCGTGCTGTTTTCTTGGCACCGTTTCGAGGTCCAGTTATGCAAAAATGACACATTTCCAACAGCTATCACGATTAATGCTTCTGCTCCAAGTGTGTAATTGCTGAATCCACCCAGCATGACAGACAAGACTGAGGTCCTCCAAACCTGAATTAGTTCTTGGCTCTGTTGAACGAATCAACAGTCATGGGCCAAGGCCTCGAAGTGTCTGGTTTTGTTGTCTGAGAGTCCCAAATTGGTGCAGTTGTTCATGAAATGCCTAAATTACACCTGGCTGCAAAATTGCAGCTCCTTGCTTCAACACCTAAAATCCGTGCATGTCTCTGGACATCCGGCCTCATCGGGTACCAGACCGAGCGTGTCCTCCTCACCCAGTCCCCGGGTTGTGTTTCTCTGTGGATGCCAAAGCCAGCAACAGCCAACCCGAAACCCTTATGAAAAATGATAGTTTGGCAAGGATCCTGTATCCTGAACATCAACCTGCCCTAGCACATAACCCATTCTCCTACTTTATATTATGATGATGATGATAAAAAATATGAGGATATTTTACCTGCCCCTTGGAGAAGACTTCCTTGCCTTGAGGTGAGTGAAGAAGTTGAAATTTGTAAGCCTGATGTGAATTGAAATAAATGCACTCGTGTTAGCTATGTTCAGGGAACCAAGCAGGACAACAGAAAACAACCGTCTCATACGGATTAGGCCAGCACCGTACCTGGACTTCTGGTGGCCCCAGGTGAACTTTTAGTATCGGGCCCCCCTTCGCCGAGATAATGATAATAATAATGGGACAACAGAAAAAGTGTTGTGGGCCCCCTTTCTGTCTGGTGCCCAGTTTCCCTATGCCTGTGTCCAGCCCTGGATTAGGCCATGTGGTGACCGCAATGAAAAAATGGAGGGGAGCATCTGGCCCCCTTCCTGAATGTTGTATTTTACGTTGGCTGGATGGAGCAACTCTGGGGGAGTTGGCTTGGGGGAGGATATAACACATCTTCTTGTGATTTAGTTGTAGCCTAACTGTTCAGCAAGAAATGCAAACCCTACTCATTACGGGTCTGGCCATCGAGCAAACTGAACGCTAACATCGCTCGCTCCTTCTAAGTAGCGCGAGGTCCGATTCCTGTCCAGCCTCCCTCCTCTCTGCTGGCAATGGCAGATGTAGTTCCTGACCTCTTGGTGCGCAGGGAACGAGCACCTGACTGTGCTAAACGGTTTATAACAGTGCCGCGTTCATCCACCCTCTCTTGCTTTGTTCCCAGGGCGCTACAGGAGTTTCTGGCCCCAAAGGGAACCAGGTGAGTCAAGACTTTGAATTGGTCTTTTTTTTTTCTGGTTGCTTTCACACTGAAGTCAGGTCGCAGCTCTCCTGTCTAGCTTGATCACAGCATCACTAGCTAAAATTTAGCAGGTTAGGCAGTCGATGCAGACAATGCTTTTTTTTTTCCTTCCAATTTATTTTCTGTGTGTGATGTATTTTTTTTAAAGAAATGCGGAGCTGTTCTATGTAAAATGTGGTGCCCTTGATACTTGTCTTCCAGTCATCATACCTAGCAACATCTAACGCACTCAAAACCAAATCCCCTTTGGTGAACGTATGCAAGTAGATGTGTAAACAGGTAAGATTTGAAGACTAACAGATGAGGAGCACTTAGTCTTTAGTAAATTTTTGCTGCTTAACATCTGTATTTGGTTTAATTCAATGGATGAACTGCTGAGCCAACTGGTGGCAAGTATACAACGATGTACAGCGGTGGAGCCCTTATCTCTGCAGGAAGTGGCATGCTGTATACCCAACAAACATCTATATGGTTTCAAATCACAATTTCCACTTCTAGCCACCTCCTTGTTGCTTTTGGAGGGCAGGCGTGCTCTAAGCTCAGCAGGTTCTGGGAAATGTAAATCTTAACTGCAAGTCTAAGCCTTTATAGGCAACGTAACACTGCTTACTACCCGCAGGAAATGCGTGCTGCTGTGAGCAGTGTCTGGAAGGTGTACATTATCCTGCACACATGGGCAAGCAGCTCGTACGGTGCTGCGCCCTTATGTTGTCTCTCGCTATCTATGAATTACAAGCTCCCTCTGTCGGTTCAGTGGGAAACAGGCTATCCTAACGGCTCAGCATCGCTGTACAGAGCCAGTCGCCGAGCAACTCTCGGGAGGCCTGTGCCCTCTTAATGAGCTCGACTCTGAAATCAAATGGCTGCATAATAATTAGCCACCAGGTTTCCAATATTTTTGCTACTCACCCTAGGGATAGACCCAGAGCTCTTGCCCATGGAGGTTTGGGTTTTAGTAAAGTTTAGGATTTGTAGGTTTAGTTTAAAGGCTTGTGCGAAGTGCCCTCAGGCACTTTGTTTCAGAGGCCAACCCGGGGCAGATCCTCCTTTGGAGAAGGAGGTTATTTTTTTCTCCAGTTAACAGACTTGGCAGGGAGTCATCTACGTGGGTTGCAGGGAGTTACCTGTAGATATCTGCTGCCATTGCCTCCAAGCCGGTCTGCAGTAGTTTGCAGGGACCTTGAACAGGGGAAGCTCTTAGTAAAGTTTTGCCACAGCTTTGGTGTTGCGAAGCACACTTGGCGATGTACAAGACCAGCAATGCTGCAACATCTATTTTCTAAGCACAAAATCCTCCCACTGTCGTTGTGACCCTGAAAGGCTCTGGATGCTCTTGACTCCCAATGGGAGTTGAGGGTATTCAGGATGCACAGGTCTGTCTGGGTGCCCAGGAAGTAAACTCCCCCTGGAAAGTAAAGCACGTGATTGTGAATCACTGTATTATGCACCCACTGGCAAGGTTCCTGGTGTACTAACACTGTTGATTTCTTCCCAGGGCTTTGCAGGAGCGGATGGCCTGCCTGGTGACAAAGGAGAACTGGTAGGCATCATTTAAATCCAAGGGAAACAAATCACCAAAGAGCTGGACCCAGAGGTGCAGGAAGCCGGCTGCATGCACTACCCCCATTAGCTTTTTCCTCAGTGCCCCTTAGCATGTCAGGTTTAGCACCCCTGAAGGGGCCAGCTTGGTGCCTGTGGACTGAGTCCAGCTGTAACATGTGAGAATACAAGAGAAATCACTCTAGTTTTCCCAGCAAGGCTAAAGGGATCCATCCTTTGCAAGTGCTGTCCACCCCAGCACCTCTGTGCCCCTGCTCTCCGTCCTGTGCCTGCACTCATAGGAGCTATGCCCCTGCTTTGGCACCAAGGGAAATGGCATCCCTGAGTAGGTGACCCAGCTCTGCTCTAAAGGCCAGGGTGCTCCCCATAGCAGAGCAGGCTTGTGTGACTTAAAAGGACACATAACAGGGTGAGCCTTTCTCTTCTCTGGGTCCTTTGGCTTCTTTGGGCTGCGCCCCTGCTTGAAGAAGTATTGTGTGCATTGCTGGAGCACCCTAAGGTGTCACTCAGAAACCCCATGCAGAAGTAAGTGCTGCTCCCAGGAGCTTAGTTAGGTCGATTGATCTGTCCATCGATATCTGTCTTTGTTCCTGTTGCGTGTTCTTTCAAATATCCCCATTTTCCTCCTTTTCTTCATAGGGTCCTTTTGGTCCCCGGGGGCAAAAAGGAGAGGTACGTAGCAGCTGGTGCAGGCTCTGAGCCACAAGTGTTAATGCGATAAGTGTGTTTATCCCAATGGCTTCTGGCTATTTGGGGTTATACAGTACCGCTGGGGGTGGTTTCCTTTTTGGTGTTATACTGTACCACGGGTGGTGATTGCCTCTTCGGGTTATACAGTCCCATGGGTGGTTTATTCTTTTATTCGGGATGCTGAGTCTTTAATATATAATTGAGCCTTTCATATATAATATATTTTGACTTCCATGGTTTCATGCACATGTTGAGGCCAGTCCCTAAGGGGCTACTTCTGCTCTGTGCATAAATCCCATGGTGGTGTATAGCAAGGCAGGCCGAGTCACTTTGCACCCTGCACCCCATCCACAAGGCCCTATGCACGTGCTTAGCTTTAAGCACAAGCAGTCCAGCTGAGAACTGTTTAAAAAAAACCCAGTGTCACATATTAAGTGGGGGAGGCAAAAGGTAGTTAATCAAACTTCTCAGGAAGGAAACTTCCTGCTTCCCAGCCCTTCTTGATGGGAGGGAAATGTGGCCCTAGGAAGAATAAGATGAGCAGCAACCTCTTTAATTGCCATCACAGCAATGCACCAGGAAAGGCTTCTGTGCTCGAAGTCTAAGTCCCTATCCGCACAGAAGTGGGAAGTAAGTTGGCATGAACCCCAGGAGCTCTGATGTGGGTTTGTGGAGCTGCGTTGTTCAGAGACCCACCTTATCCACGCTACCCCTGCGTGCACTGGTTGTGTCCTGGGAATGGTTTGCACTGCTGTTGCTGCTTGCATTGCTTCCACTGCAACCTGGGCACGGTCTATAAACCGTCTGTCACAGTCAGGATCTACATGCACACCTGCTGCAGAAGGACGCATGCAGTCAGGACAGCTGCTCTAGCAGCAAGAGGGAGAATGCAGTAGCAGGGAGGAAGGCTTAGCGGCAAAGTACCAGGGGGGAGTAACACTATGCCCAGCCTCTCTTTTACACCTGCTTTTTTTCCTCACCCTTTAGGCAGGCGAAAGAGGGGAGGTGGGTCCTAAAGGTATTCAAGGACCCAATGGAACTGCCGGCGTGCCAGGGATCCCAGGCCATCCAGGACCTATAGGCCACCAGGGAGAGCAAGGTGTCCCCGGCATCCTAGGAAAACACGGCCCTCCCGTGAGTACTGCTGTTCTCCGAGCGCGGTCCTGTGTCGGGTGGGAATGGCTGGGTCACCGACAGCAGCGGAGTCCTGCATTCCCAACCCAGGGATGTTCTGCTTAGAATATGCCTACAAAGCAGGTTTTTGTACCCTTGTCCACTGCTGGCCATGCCTTGTAGTACTGAAAGTGTCCGTACTCGTGCTAGTTGCTATGAAGCAAGTCAAGCTAATGGGCCAAGAAGAGAAGTCCCCCTAGTCACACCCCCTAAAAAGGGAATTCTCAGTGAAAGAAATGAATGAAAGTGCCAGGTTTAGAAAGAAATGCCATGTTTTTTTCCCATCTGGGTAGCTTATTCAAATGTAGTGTAAGCTATTAGGGACATCAGACTGGAAGGGTGCATGGAGTCTATGGGCAATGAGGGGTGAAGTTACCATCAGAAACCATGTGAAAGTATATCTTGTTCTCTCAGTACATTCCCAGTGGGCAGGCGTCTACATCACCAAATTGATCCCTGCTAAGTGGCTCCGTCAGAAGGGCCAAGGAAGGACGGGTGCAGGGGGGTTGAACTATCCCTAGAGGAGGTTGCAGCTGAGCATGGGGCAAGCATGCATTGTCACTATGCAGGTTGCACGTCTTTTGTGAACCGGGATAGGCCGTCTCCTTCTGAGGTGCAGAAAATACAGAAATAAATGAACATTGCAAACGTAAAGATAAGAAAGAAAACAGGAGACTGGTCTGTCTCCCACAAGGACAACACTGTTGTTTAACTCTCAGTGGGTGAGTGTCCTCTGTGGTGTTGCAGTGCGTTAGTGGTGTCCTCTGATCAGCAAAGATGGCTCACTGGATTTTAACTGTAGACATCATCAACCAAGTTTAAAGCTGTCTTAGCTGGGACTTAATTTGCAGGCATCAACAACTGCCCAGAATAATTTAACATCATCAAGCAAGCTTCTAATTTTGCATTTGCGTTAATCGCATTTGTGCGTACAAACATGCATCGATAGCCGTGCATCTATCGACTTGGCAAGACCAGCTGGTTTGTTTGTACAGGAACACAGTTTGCAAGGATAGAAGGAAAAGTAACTTCCCAGGACTTGTCTCTTTGGGGATTAGTCCACTCTCGGGATGACACATCAGTGACTGATGTACCATATTGAGCTACATCAGTATGATGATACATCTGGTTTCTTTGGAATGAGATGAGATAGGTGATAGCGCTAGGAAAGTGAGTTAATACAAGTCAAGTCAGTACCTGGAAAAAGCAAATTGACTCCTGGTTGGATTAAATGATTTTATTACTCAAATTAATCGGGGCGGGGGAGGTTGTTTGTTTTTCAAAGATCAAGTTTCCCATTCCTGTCAAGGTCAAAAACCCACAACTTAAATATACTACCTGAATTATTAATGCTACCCTGATAGCTTGTGGAGGAAGGAACAATTCTTTCTTCTCCATAAAAGCTCCTCTGTTTTATACCAGTGCTCACTTGGACGTGTGTTTTGAGCCCTGAGACAAGTAGCGTGATGATTATCAGTAACATGATTTGTGTGTAAGACAGGATTATTTCGTTAACTCCAGGGAAAAGAAGCCAGCGAGCAACATATAAGAGAGCTCTGTTCGGAAATGATAAACGGTGAGTGCCACCGGGAGGTGACTGAACTTTAGTTACTCCATCAAAGCATGAGGGTGCTTTATAGTTAGTGAGCAGTTGTTGCTACTTATTTTGATGGTGATTGCACTAATCTGAGCCGTGTGGATTCCACTGCCCGGGGGATCTGTGTTAGTAGTCATGCAGCATCGCGTGGTGAGCTTACCTTCATTTGCTCACGTGGCCCTGCAGCCCTGTTCTCTGATGCCAAACCCCATGGGATTTGAGTCTCGATAGCACAACAACATATTGCTCCACATAAGCTGGTTTTCATGTTTCTTCCCAATGTTTTTGCACAGTACAGCTGGGCCTTAATCCACTGTGATGACAGCTAACACCAGTGACTCTGTTTCAATGACTTTACTATCAATTTCCATTCAACTTGGCTCCTGCATTATTGACAGTGTTATATTATAACAGAAACAATTGTTGAGTGTTACTGGGACAGATTCCAGCCTCAACTAGGCACGTGTAGCTCCTGTTGGAGCAGGCCGGTGTTGTGTGCATGCACCTCTGAGAGCCGTAATTCTGCCCTTGCTGTGCAATCAGGGTTTTTGCACTGGGGGAAACTCAAAGCCTGCACTTTCTCCTTTTATGAGCTGCACTTGCTCCCAAGTGTCACACAGCTGAAAGGCTGCAGCCTCCAGGCATCACATCGAGCAAGAGTTGACCTAGTTTTCATTCTGTTATCACTCTTCTCTTCCAGAACAAATCGCACAGTTAGCTGCTAATCTGAGAAAGCCTTTGGCTCCTGGGATGATGGGTCGGCCTGGCCCTGCTGGTCCCCCAGGTCCTCCTGGGTCAACAGGAAAAGTTGGTCATCCCGGTGCTCGTGGTCCGCCTGGATTTAGAGGGCCAACAGGGGAACTTGGAGATCCTGGACCAAGGGGTAAGATGCAGCACCCAATCCTGTGCCCACCGAGGAAATGGCAAGCCTCCTCCTAGCTTCACTGTTGCAAAAGCCGGTCCTCAGAGGGGAAGAACAGGAAGCCTGAGCAGGTGCCAGAGCTGTAGAAAGTAGGCGTGTGGTTTGGGAAACAAAGTGAATCCTCATCACTGCAACATGTCAGGGAATGAGGCATAGGGCTTGACCTTGGGGACCGCAGCATCTACAGGTTGTATCCAGTCTTTCTCCCTCTCTCCCTACCCTGCTTCCCCTGCTGCCGTATGTGCCTACAAGACCATCCTACTGTTGCCTGAATCACTGAGAAAACAGATGGTCTCCTATCGCTCCTTGCAGGAGAGGGTGAAGAGCTGCTTCTGATTCTGTGCTACAGCTTTGCCTTGCCTTGCGCCACTAGCATGACACTCACTGAGATGCAAATGCCAGTGCTAGTCTGGAGCATTTTACTCCACACTGTCTGTTCAAATGACACACACCCATCTCTAGGCTCCAGGTAGATTTCCCGCACTGCACGTAGAGATTGCAAACCCTCCAGACCAGAGACGTTGGCACTGACCTGTTGTGTCTGGTGGCAGATGCAGAGCCGTTCTTCCTACATGCATTTGTCATGAGCCATCAAGCCTCTTTCTCTCTCTCAAACAACCAAAATGAAGAGTATGAGTTAGGACAAAGTGTGGGAAAAAAGATGCTGGTGAAGTGTCTTGTTTCTCAAGCCTAGTCAGGGTCTGATTCTCCAGCTTTTGTATCAGCAAATGTGCAAAGCATGGAGTTTTGTTGCTACCGATCTGTGTCTGACAGTTAATAGGAGTAACTTGGCTAATGGGTTGCAACAGCTGAAAGCAAATCCAGCCTTTGAGGCTTTTCAGGCTCCTGCTTGTCCTGGCAGGTGCTCTAGGATAAGAATGAAACGCCAGGGGGCAGCACGCTGAAGCATTTGGTCCTACAAAAATGTAATTTTCCCTTTTCTGTCCCTGCCTGTTCGAAGCAGACAGCAAGTGATACGTTTGGCGCGCACGCAGATCTGACAGTTATCTGTTCAAATATGCCATATATACATGTTAAGATATTTGATTACCAGCAGATTTAGGACTTTTAAGTTGCCTTTTAAAGGTATTTAGCCAGGTAAAGTTATGATTGGGCACTGTCGCCCATGGGACTGTCCCAAAGCACCTAACTCGTATTTGAGTCAATGGACCTTTTTTTTTGTTGAAGTTGCAGGTGTCTTTGAAAGCCTGCTTTTTATACAGAGCATTTAAGAACTTTGTTTGGCTGGTAATAGTGCCAGTAGTGTGAACCCAGGAGACGGAGATGCAGATAATGGTAAAAAAGTGTGTGGGGGGGTAGGCATCTCATGCAGCGAAGGAAATGCTTGCACACAAGCTCTAAATCTGGTAACAGGGTCCAGGGTATGAGGGCAAACTGGACTGAAATCAGCAACGTCTGAATTAAATGAAAATGTGCATCCCTGCAGGTGACCCTGGTGAAAGGGGAGACAAAGGAGCTACTGGCCAAGGCATCGATGGGCCTGATGGAGATCAAGGACTTCAAGGTAAGTTGATGCAGCATTTAACAAAACTGTTAAATACCCAGATAATGACAGTACCGACTTGGAAAGTCCCAGCCTACTACACTGTTAATCAAGGAGGCAGTAATTGCTCTGGGTCAAAATAAAGGCTGTAGGGGGACCGTGTAGTGTGTGGTGTATCTGCATTTCTTTCTCCCCACAACTATTATGCATCTCCCTCCCTTGAGTGATTGCTGCATAATCCCGGTGGAACCCAGCCAGCGCGGCCTGCTGGAGCGGTCCTTGGCCCTCCCGTGCCTCTCTCCCATTCCTCAGTGTTTTAGGGATGTGGCTCTTCAGCTTTCTCAGTTCCTTCCAAGCCCTGGCTGGGAATGAGTTCAGACCTTAGCTCATCCAACTAATGCTTTATTGGTCTTAGCTGGGGAGTCTCTGGTTCAAGCTACTACTGGGATCCCAGCTGTGCTGGGCAGATTGCAGGGCAGTCTTCCTTCCCCTTGCCTTTAGGGAACAGTGAATGCTGCTGGAGTTCAGTGCATGGTGTTCCCTGCCCCACTCCCTGGTTAGCAAGCTGTAACCTCCACTCCCGTTCCCCTTGTGTCATTTGTTCTCCCAAAAAGCAGTAGTTGTCACCCTCCCTCTGACCATAGAGGGGGGTGGTAGTTCCCAGTGGGCCTGCACCCACGGTTTAGGCATAACTATTTGTACCAGCACTGGATACAGCCAGGAACGTAACTACACATCGTAAACCATCATTATCAGTTCCGGCATCCTCACCAAGCCTAACTCCCAAGGAGCTACACTGAAAGGATCCCAAGTTGTGCAAGTGATGTCCAAACAGGAGAATCAAAGTCAGATTTCCCTGTCGCTTCTAAGATGTGTGAAGATTATGCAGTTTTTGGGTGCCTAGCTCACGCAGTGGCACTCTGCTTTGCCTCATATGATGACCTGACACCAACGTACGTGACTAAATGCATGCACGTGAGACGGTTACAGTTTCAGCCGGTGCAGCTGAGGATGCTGCATGCTCAGATGCAATTGTGGACTACCCAGAACTTTAATGTCTGTTCATGCTGCTGTGGGCGTATAGGCATGCAGCATAAACTCCAAGAAGTGTGGCTGAAATTATAAATGAAAAGCCCAGTGGGTATAACTAAATTATAACCAAAAGCCCCTCTAGCCCAGTAGGCAGTATGCCTACCCAGGACAGGAGAGCCTTGATGACCCATGTTCCTAGTGAGCTGTAGCACACATGCAGCATATAAGCCCCCATCTCCCAGTTTTAATTTTGCCTCTAAATAAAAGGCAGTGTTTTCATGCTAAATCTGTTTTTCTTTCTCTCCTTTAAGGACCACCCGGTGTTTCAGGAATCAGTAAAGATGGTCGGGATGGTGCTCAAGGAGACCCCGGTCTCCCAGGGGATCCTGGAGTGCCTGGTGCAATCGGGGCTCAAGGGACTCCAGGAATATGCGATACGTCAGCCTGCATGGGAGCTGTTGGAGCATCGACTTCCAAAAAGTCATAAACCAGCATTGAAAGAAGTGGAGAAGTGACTGAATATTTAAGTAAACAGTGCATTGTATGAAGCCAGAGAGGAGCCTCCTAGTGATAAATGGACAGAGGTTCCTTCTAGTAAAATGAATAAAGTGGAGACTTTGCCACAGTATTTCAGTTCTGTGAAAAAAAAAGAAAGCATCACGTAAAAATCTTTACTAGGAAGGTATTAAAGAAGTATTTCCCCCAGTTATTATCTAGAATGTTTATGGCAAAACCACCTCAACCTTTCTTGTCGCCCTTTGTTGGACAGACCTGCAGGAGAAAGCGCTGTTCCTTTTACCATCATCTCCCTCATTGTACTAAAGCTTGTGGCAATTTTGAGTGAAGGCTTGAGCCAGTGCTCATTGCTTTCGGTGGTGCTGCTCCCATTGACTTCAGTAGTGCAGGGTACAGCAATAAGACCCTGATTCTCAAAGATACTTGGGTACCTACCTCCTACTGAGATCTATAGGAGACTGAGAGCTTGAGTACCTTGGAAGACTTGGGTCTAAGCGAAGATCATTGCCCATGTATATCCGTTGTCCACCGTGACATCAGACCATACCTCAATCATTTGCCATGGCTAGTAAATATTAAACTTCTTGCAGTCTATGCCTGCAAGGGGTGTAATGTATATATTATAATTTTACAAGGGAGATTTTCTGTATATTTCCATGTTATAATAAAGGATATTCAGTAACAGCATTTTCATGACCTCTACTTCAGCTATTTGCACAGCATTTGTGAAAGAAATCCCAAGAGAAAAAAAGGATGCTCTTCTAAAGGCAAGCCAAAATTACTGTATGAACTGTTGTAAAAATAAAAGGATTTTTTTTAACCTTTTTTTGGTGATGTTGTAACTGTCATTATATATATAGACACACATACTGAACCCTGTTCTGCTTAACTCCATCTTCCTCTTTAGAATTATTTGAAAATAAATTGCTGCAAAATTATAAGTATCCGTGATTTACAACAGTATTTATTTTGGGGTGACTTTTGTGTACTATAAACCTGTTAGCATCATCCACTTTTAGGGCACAAATGATATCGATTTCTGTCCTACATGTTGCAGCTTAGTAACAAGTAGCACCATTACTAGTCTTTAATATGAAAATATTTCGTCCATTTAAATCATTCACTGTTTACAATATACCACTTTTGGACTAAAGCAACAACACAAGAAATTGTTGGACAGGTTGTGCAAAACTATTTAAAACAGTGCCATATTTAAATAGCAATGCAAATAGCATTGCATGGCATTTTAATTCTATGGGATATACATTTTTATATGCTTGGCAATCTGATCTCCAGTACATACAATAGCATTTGCAAGTTATGTAATAATTGTGCAATCAAAAATAATTTAATTTTCTCACTGTTCCAATAACAAAATGAGCATTATAATGGCATCTTTATAATTTAATAGGAATGCTCCTTCATGACTGAATACATGCAATAAGAAAATTGATGTTCCATAACCATTCTAACTATATCATGTTAAAAAAAAAATCTAATGGATTTTTTTTGATAGCTAATGGGGAAAATATTAGGAGCTGTTATGACATTTTCTTGTTGCCTGCAGTCCCACACCTCTCTAAGAGGGCACTGATAAATAAATATTGTTGGTATCCTTCCATTTTGAATAAAGAATATTTTCTTTAATGTTCTATTTATGTATTTTTACAAACTGTATTTTTCAAGTCACTCTTGAATACTATCAATTCAAATTAGCCACAGGAGATGAAGTCCGGCATGTGAACACAGAAGAAAATATGCAAAGTTATCAGGTATCCATCTTTCCCACAAAATGCTGGGAATTGATACTATTTCTTCTCCACAGTTGTACTGTTCTGCATATTTTCCTGCATTGGACATGTTACTAGTGAGTCGGGTCTTGTTAGTTTTAGTCTTCTGCCTGTTTTACCACAGAACACAGTCTCAAATTCCTAAAATCAAAAACAGAAAGGAATTACTATCACGTTTAATAAAAAAATACAAAAAATGTTATTACAATACTATTGGGCAAATGCTGGAATCGGAGTATACCCGAAAGGTCTTTGGGAAACTTGTTTCTAATTTCCTACTTTGCCACAGACATCTTAGGCTTAGACATCCTATGGTATCTAGGCACCTGACTCCCACTTGACTCTCCAAAAGGAGTCAAGACACACAAATACTGCTGAGGATCTGGAACTCAGCCTCCCTCTGCCTCAATCTTTTCATCTGCAACCATGTAGGTAATATTCTGCAGGGGCAGCGGGATAATGAACAGCTCAAGGACTGTGATGACAACAGTGTGGCAGGTGCCCCTTAAACAAGCTGAGTACAAGGATGTCTTGTAGGAAACAGGACCACTCTACCAAGCGGTTGAACTGAGCTGTGGTTCCCGAGAGGCTGCTAGTACCAGAGGCCACAGCTTTTTACCATCTCACCAAGAGCCTTTTTATTAGAGAAGCCTTTGCAGCGGCCCCAAACCTTCTGCATATTAGTACACGTGTTCCCAGTGCCTGGTGAATCAGTTCATAGAATCACAGAGAAGTAGGGCTGGGAGGGACCTCTGGGTCTGGGACAGACATTGCACAAACCGGTTGCATAGATTTCATAGACATTAGGGCTGGAAGGGACCTCAGAAGATCATCGAGTCATCTGCCCAAAGGGCAGGATGTCAGCTAGGGTCAAAGGACCCCAGCACGATAAGCATCCAAATGTTTCTTAAGCATCCAGAGTAGAAGCGTGCACCACCTCCGGAGGAAGTCTATTCCAGGCCTTGGGGACTCGGACAGTAAAGAAGTTTTTCCTTATATCCAGCCTAAAATGGTCTTGGAGGAGTTTGTGACTGTTGGACCTTGTCATCCCTTGGGGCGCTCTGGTGAACAGGCATTCCCCCAAATCAGTTAAGTCTGATACTACATTCAACCATGTTTCTCTCAAACTGGTTTCAGTCAGTTTCAAACTGGTTTATGTGCACTGAACACCTGTTCTGTTACGGGCTTAACCAGTTTCTGATCACTTAAAGCAGTTTATGTGTAATGTCTGTCCCGAGCCCTGGAGGTTATCTAGTCCAGAGGCAGGATCAACCCATGGAAGATTACCCATATAAATCATCTCTCCTAAACCTTGTCTAATCTATTATTAAAATGACACGGTTGATTCCAGCACACAGCCTAGGACCTTAACCTTTCACAAGTAAAGCAAGGGGACAACGGTGGACAATGTCCTGCTGTTGCAAGGGTTAAAATACACTTAAGGGATCCAAGAATAAGGCCCATCTCCTCCTGCTACCTTACCTGCATGGCCTCCTCACTCCAGCCCCCTGCTACAGAGGAAGGTACATGAGCGAATGCAGGTAAAGAAAAACTGGGATGGCCTAATTGTCCGAATGTGGCTGCCTTCCTCCCGCCTGTGCCCAGTCCCTTCCCCTCCTTCCCCAATGCCCAAGGGCCTAGGCGCACGGTCAATTTGTGCTGTTCCAAAGGTGCGGCATTTTAGTGGGGGTAGCAAAGTTACAATATAACAGGAGTGGGCTCATGTTCCTGAGGCTGAGCATACACTGCTCACCACTGAGGGGGCCTCCGAGCAGCTATCCCAGCATGCTTTGGCTCTGTGAATCCCCCTGGGGTTGGCTGAGTCATGAGACCAGCACAGAGAAAGCACCAACTGCCCATCTGGCTTGAACGTATCTGCTCATACGTTGGGACATCGCAAATACATCTGGAGTGGCATAAACTGCAAATGTGCCAAGCCCACAAGCCAAACGTTGTTTGGTCTGAATGGTTCGATGTAGCACACAGCAGGAGCTTAAGTCAGGAAAACTTTTTCATAATGCCTATTCAAACTGAATAGGAAAAAAGTAAATTAAAAGGTATTTCTTTTGAGTGGCAAAGTCAAGTCCAGCAGAACTGTTTCATTCACTTTTAGTGATATCGTTATAGATTTTTTTAAGTAAAATGTTTTTAACAACCCACTAGAAAAACTAAAATTGGATTGTGGGATACAGACCTTTTTCAGAGAATCCCCATGCCTTTCCTGAATGTATTTCAGAAATGCTGTTGTCCACTGTAAAGTCGTTGCCTTATCGGTATCAGCAGTGCAGAAGGGAACGAGAAGATTCAATTCATCACAGCAAATCCGGATTCTGCGCCTAGAGCCACATTCAAAATAATAAATTTAGCAAATTATTTAAATAGCTTATACAGATCCTACACAGTGGTCTTCTTAAGCCACAAACTTCTCCCTTAGGTAGGGCTTTACACACTTTCTTTCAAAGAACTGGCCCCTCTTAATTTAAACCACAACCAAGGATGACAGTGGTTCCTTAGTATGCACAACATCTTACGGCATTTTTACAAGTGCTGCGGGGGTAGGGGGGCTCCGAGAGCTGCTCTAATTAAAGTGCCACAGCACCTGGTCTGTCAGCATCCCCCTGCGTCAAAGTGGCAGCAGGGGTGCTTTAACAAAAGCTCATCAAACGAACTTTAAAGTGCCCCCACTGCCATCTTGAAGCACAGGGATGCAGATTAATCGAGTCTGCTCCGATGTGCTGTAATTACAGCGCCTTGCAGCAGCCTCCTTGGTCCTTAGAGAGCTTCCCCAGAAAGTATGAAATTGCACTTCAATTCTTCCCTCTGCCTGCAGGGACTTAAACCCATGTCCTACAAGGACACCCCCACCTCCTCCCCAGCTACCAAGCTAAAAGCTGGATCAGGGCACTTTCCATTCTGAAAGTGGCTGAAGTCTCCCAGTGTAACCCAGAGCATCGTAAAAGGATCGTGTCAGCTGAAGTGGTCCTCCTTAGGCCACTCCGTTAAGACAAGGATCGGTAGAGCACGTCATACCCTTGGTAGGCCCGAGAATGATGCAGAGAAGATGGGATAAAGTCAACAAAGCCAACTTTATTGGCTGACCATTATGCCAGCTTTCCTTACAGGCCAACTTTCCAAAAACAGTGTAAAATGGAGCTTGGAGTCAGAATCTGATTAATTATCATCTTAGGATATTTCTAAATCCAGTTCAACCATAATGATACAAGTCTTTTGCAATTTTCATTAATCAGCTGCGAAGAGCCAGTTAATTGGTTTATGGGAAGACAGATACATATTTTTAAATTACTGACTTGAGATGTAGATCATGATTATACACCTTCTGCTAGCTACAGATTTGAATTATACTCGATTGTTATAAAACGGCTATCCTCTGAAAGATTTTATTACACATTTTGGATTGTCTTACAAATGTAGTAGAATCAACAATATAAAAAGACTTTGAAAATGTCCTTTACTTGCTTCCAAGAGAATGCCACTTATTTCACCCAGGGAACACTATTTGCTCCAGATGACAAATGAAGCAAAACGTCTCCAACTACTCTGTCGTTATAAAATAAGTCTTTTAAGAATAGTGAACTTCATTCACACTTCCAAAATATTTGGTATTGCAGCTCTGCACTTAACATGAGAAGTTACCTTCTGTCTCTTTCCATGCGGTTATGTCTCTCCCGACGCTGAGAGATTCCTCCCTGCATTCCATTTTGGGCCTGAACACTTGAATTTGACTGTGCTGCCTGCCAACTACCCTGAGCAGATGTAGTATTTTGGCTATCGCACATATTCTGAATTTCACCAAGGGGTTTGCGGTCTGCATTTGTGTCCAACTGGCGTAGCCGACTGCAACTTCTTTTATTTATTGCTTGTTTGCATAAAGCTTCTTCTTTGCAAAACAAGGAGGGAAAAGCAAAACTTTATTTCTGATTCTCCCACTCTGTCAATCTTTCATATGCACTGAATTTAGCTGTAACCTTATTTTTCACATTTGATTCTGAAGGACTAAAGTGAAACTACTGTTAGAAAATGAGGCCTCAGTGATTATAACTTATTCTCAGTTATAGTTTATATGGACAATGGCACTGATAATGTTACTGAATCGCTATCTATATACATTTATTAGAAAAAGGAGAGCATTAACATTTCATATTTTCAAAATGCAAAATGCCTGCTGAACTCCAAGTGTGAATGAATGAGGTAACTAGCATTTCCAACTTCATATTCAGAAGGTAAAATGGGATGTCCTGCAGGTCTCTATACATCGCTGGAGGTCAGAAACAGAGAGACAGAGACAGGGGCCCAGAGCTAACAAACTACCATGTTTCCATAACAGCCTAGCTGCAATTATTCCCACCTGCCCTCTACCACCTCCAAAATGCCTGCAGAAATAACGACAATTAGGTGGGTGTTCATTCAGGTATTGATAGTCCCACGGTCTATAGAGGTACAAACTGGGCTTGTTGCACTAATCCTTGGTATAACATTACATTCAAAACAGGCTACTTAAAAAGGAACACATTTTTTAAAGTCGTCTACAGTTTCAACTCTTCTCATTACAAGCTACTTAGCAGACAGCCACTTTGAAAGCCTCCCCACAGTTTTAGCTGCTGGGCACTTTTGAAAATCTTGTCTCACATTTTCTACAGAATAAGCGCACGGTGGGTAATGTCATCGGGTTTCACCGTGCCAACTCAGTAAAAACACATTAATTCCAGAAAAATAAAATCATTAAAATAAATCAGAACAAAAATATCATTGGAAGATTAGGCACACAGAAAGCACAATACTCAAAACCTAAATAATTTACCTCCAACTTTAATCCAAACTTGCTCAGGCAAAGCTTTATTCCTTGCACCTACTGTCTGTTTAGTGGATTCAATTTCCTGATGATAACAGAACGAAAATGCCCTGGGCAATCCAAGGTCTTGATGTTTTGTAGCTTCCACAATAGTACAAGATGCTCCAGAGCTCTAGAAAAGAATCAGGACACGTTAAGAGAAAAGAGGAGCATGACATTTGGTCTTCTGATGCGGACATTAGGTTTTGACCCATGAGACAATGAGCTATAATTAATAAATTGCTTTTTATTCTCAACTCATCTGAAATTGCAGTTCATGCAATTTCAACATTCAGACTGTGTGGTTTTACTACTGCACTTGGGACATTTCCTGCATGTCAATTTGAGTTATTAGACTTGGTTTGTAGCAACTGTAAGAAAAATCAAATGACATTATTTTTTTGCCAAAAGGAAATCGTAAGAGGGAACCAGGAGAAAACTCTTGGTAAACAGCTGCTTGCTGTTGCCTGTGCAGGCGTGAGGGAAGATGGTGCTTTGAATGAATAAGCAGAAATGCCCTTTTAATAAGAAACCTAATGGTCATTCTAGCTTGGACAATTTTAGTATGCAATGTGATTCTAATTTAGTCGTTTTGACTGAATACTTTTGAAGCTGAAGCATACAGGCTAAGTATATATCCCTCTGCATATAGCTGCTTAAGTCACTATTGAAACACACTATTTCAAACTTAAAATGGTTAGCTATCAGACTCAATTTATATAAATCCTACAAGAAATTAAATAAGATGCAGAATAACATGAATATTGCAAATCAGCCAGCTTACAAGTATGGGGGAAAAAAGACCATGTACCTGTGCCTGTGAAGGGTTAACGTTTCCAGTACTAGAACATGCATTCATGCTAAATAACGGGTATGCAAACTGCAGGGCAGTCGTTGTAGCAGCGGTCTTGTTTTTCACTAACGTCGTACACTTGTTTGGCTGCTGGTGAAGAGGAACGCCCATCAGTTCCGCCGGCTGACGAATCAGCGTTACTAAACTATACACACACACAAAAATTAAAACAAACCAGCTTACTTCACCATACAACTGCAGAAAACGAGCACTACATACTCCTCTAGCGAGTCGTTAAGTCACGTCCACTTACTGCACAGACCTACGATCATTAAGAGCTATGCCCCTAACTCCTTTTTCAAGGACAAATGAAGATCAGCTTCATACACCCTTTGATTTGGTACATTCAAGTGATGGCTCAGCTTTGCAAAATTTATTTCTGCCTGCTCTCTAGAGTACAAAGTTTTAGGACCTGATCCTGCTCAGACGCAGGCATGCAGGCTCTGCTCCGATCGGGCCCTTCCAGATTACACTAGCCGATTTCCCCCGACACTTTTATTAATCAGCTGTAAAACGCCCAGTACTTTTGCTAGAAGCAGCAAAATGAGACCAGTCTCACTCTAGGCCTTTAGCTTTATTTTGAGCTTTAAAAATAAAGCTGAAAACCCAGCAATTTCCTGTATTTATTGTAAAAGTAACTAAGTCAATGTACTGTGCCCACAACTAAACCAATTCAGACTGGAACATTAGCAGGCACAGCTTGAGGCCAACAGGAGTCCTGTCCAGCTCCAGCAGACATTAATTTGGTCCTAAACACACCATTAATCAATTTAAATATTAAAAAAAAATGCTGCCGTTCATACACTTGAATTTCCGGAGTGATTCGAACTCTACGAAAACACTTGGTGTCACAGTATACCAAAGTAAAGTGAGTTATAACACACTTGTTAAGAGTCGCTCCAGGTTCTTGGGGTTCCTGACATCTCGGGTTTTCCACCTGGATGCTGTTGAACCGGTCTTCCAGCCGGACGCGGACGGCGGATTTTGACCGCGGCTCAGGAGCTGGCGGCGAATGGTCAGGAAGGACGTTTTCTTTGTTCGCCCCAGCCATGTTTTCGCTGTGCTTCGCCCTCGCTAAACCGTGCCCCGCAATGTCTACGCAGCTAGCGTTGGGCGTTTTGTCTGCTTGGCTGGCGGGGAGATTCGACTCGCTAAGCAGCATCATTCTGAGCTCCTGAAAGTCCCCGTGACCCAAGCATTGGCCGGAGCCCGTGCCACCTGTGTCAGGCGCCAACCCTGGCTGGCAAACCACCGGGTAAACTGCCGGGGTGGCGGAGGAATAGCCGGCCGGACCAGCGCTCGCCGCGGGCTGCTGCGGAGCGGCGTCGGCGGCGCCGCAGGCCGAGAAGAGGGCCGAACTGAGCCTGGCGTCCATGTCCCCGTCGTTGGCTTGCGCCTCCATGTGCGAGTAGAGGATGTGCTGCAGCTGGGTGTACTCGACCTCCGTCATCTCCACCAGGTTGAGGTCCGTGGTGGTGAAGCTCAGGTTGTGCTCGCCCAAGGGGCCCGGGGAGGCATGGGCCGGACGCCCTTTGGCGCCAGACCCCGACATGGCTTGGGGGCCGCGGTGAGTGAGTGAGTAGCAAGTGATGCCCCGGCGGGGGGGAGGGCCTGGGGCAAGGCAGCTGCCCGGGGCTGGGCGGGGGGTGCCGCCGGCCCCGCTCCAACCGCCTCCCGGTCCGGGCAACCGCCGCTGC